TTTCATAAAGGGGCGTGTCACTTTGCAACCTGCGGCGCGCCCACGTTTTATTGAATAGACAGTATAAGGAAGATATTATGATGAACATTTCAATAGTTAACAAATGTTTGATATCTTTTACAGGAATCGAGCTCATGGTTTGGATGGGCTCCTATTGGAGGATCTACGGTATCCATTTGAGAATTGAGACAAATTAAAGATTACAAACAGCATGAAGTGAACAACGTTGTCTGGAGACTTTTGGTTGACTCATATGTAGATGTTTTCAAAACTCTATTTTTGAAATATGAGCATCATTATTTTTAATTTTGTATAATTTTCGGTTTACAAAGCCTTCATGCTGGTCTGCAAGACCCTTATTACTCGGTTTCCCATGTAATCGGTTCTACAGTTTCTAGTCTAATTCCTTAGCGCCACGACGTGCCTTTCTCTCTGGACTTTGCCCCAAGAGTCATGAAATAACATTCTTACATGTGACATATTGGCTCTAAGAGATCAAGATAGAGATTCCCAATCCTCCAGTCCCTCTACAGTCTCTAAACCCTGAATCATCCCGAATTCCAATGACGATTCCCATCGCCCTCACGGCTGCAGAAGCTCTAGGCAGCGGCTCTCCAAGATCTACACCATCTCTTATTAAATTCCTCATTTTCCATTATCTGTTTGTCAGCATTTCTGTAACCCCGCCCCAAATTCCATTTATTCCACAAGTCGCCCTTTTCCCCTAAACCAAACCTAAGATTATAGAATAAACCTATTTCATATCCATGAACTCTTATTATGCTACTGCTGTAACATCCGACAAAACCTGCAATAGAGGAGCCCGCAAACTGTCCAGCTTGAGCTCAATTATCTCATTTCCTATGCAAGATATAAAAAAAGTGACAACTGACAAAAGATTTTTGATAGTATGATAAACATTTCATTCAGTAGACAACTTTTTATATGTTTTACAGGAACCAAGAAAAATTCACTCAATGGTTAAAGTTAGGAGCCCTTCTAGTACTGGTTTTACGGTACCATGGCATTCTTTCACAAAAAATTAAACTTGAAATTCCAGTAGAAAAGTCTTCAACTAGAAATCTGAATTTTTTCCTCATTTGGCACGTTCTCACAATCACGAGCTGTGATTGATGAGAACATGAAAATAATGAATTTCCTTTCCCATAGGAGCAGAAAATTTGTGACTGATACAACTTGAAAAAAAAAGCTTGCAATCAGAGAGAGGCAAAATTATAAAGATATCGTATTTCCTCTAATAGAAGGCCGGTGACCTCAGGCCAACCAAACCAACAACTTTGAGCTCAACTATCTCAATTCCTACGGAAGATATAAAAAAGGGGTAAACTGATAAATTGTTTATCATAATATTAGCAACATTTTATCAGTTGACCAGTTTTTATATCTTTCACAGAAGTCGAGGTAATTGAGCTCAAAGTGGACAATTTGGGTGATACGGGGAAGTAGCTAGAAAAATAAAATCGTTTCTCCAATTTCGCGGAAACTTTTTTTAAAAATAGAATATTAGACTATGTCTATTTTCCAATTGTATTCAAGATTTGTGTCCGTATAAGAATAATTTGAATATCATTGTGAGAGTAAGCTTTTCGTCTAGACGTTAAAGTTCAATTGCGAAGACATCAAAAAATAAATACTTGATTCTAGAAGATTCATTTTTAGTGACGTATATTCCAAAAGTGCGATCTTCCATACCTTGATTCACTTCACCGATTACCCAAATTCAACGTGTGACGAAAACAATTCAACCCAGTGAATCTGATGTAACTCATCTGCATGTCTCCCATTTCCTGCTCGTCTTTCCGTCTCAATACCCTTTCATCATCTGATCACATCGGATACACCTGGTCTCTTCTGCCCACCCACACCTTCTGTTTCTTCTCTTGCATGTACATAACATAATGAGATTTGGCAACAAATCCGCTGACAGACGGGAAAAAGCAGAAATGAATGGAGAGCAAATTGGGAGAGTAGAATTGAGGTGTGGGAACAGAGAGAAAGCGCTGAAGGATTTGTCCAAAGAATAAGCATCAGAATCAAGATTTATCACAGAAAACCGACTATGCAAAAGTATGGAGAAGGGGTTTGTATAATAAAATAAAGGTGGGGACGGGAAAGACAATAAATAAATATTTTACATTCCATATTGTTGTTGTTGTTGTTGTGGAGGAGGAGGAGCTCCAGCTCCAGGATACTGTTGACCGTACTGCTGTTGCTGCTGACTATACTGTGGCTGTTGTTGTTGCTGTGAATACGCCTGATACTGTTGCTGTTGTTGATACTGCTGAGCGTCTTGTTGTGGCGCCCCATATGGAGTGGCTCCGCCGTATGGATTTGCAGTTTGCGCTGGTGCACCATATCCGACATTTCCCTGAAACGATATGATAATCCAATAGGTTGTAATAGTTGAAAACTCACTGTGATTGAAGGATCAACAGGTCTCCGCCGCATATTGCTCAGTCGGTTTGGTGTGGCTCCAGCAGTTGAGAGCATTGGTGGAGGATCATTCCAGCCAGGTGTTACCGTTGGTGGAAGAGCAGTTTGATAGGATTCGCGTTCCAGTTGGGGAGATTGAATCTGTTGTGAAGATTGGAATTGTTGTGGTTGCTGAAATACATTATTTTTGAAGATGGCAATTCGTTGGGAATTCCCACTTGTCCCAACTGTTGTTGTTGTTGGTGCGGTTGGTACTGTTGTTGTGGTTGTGATGGCTGTTGACCGTACTGTTGTACAGGGGCCATTGGAACAGCACCTGATCCCATCATTGGCTGAGATGGCTGTTGAGGCAGGAACCCTTGTTGCTGTTGAGGATACGATTGGTACATTCTGAACAGGTCATAAAATTAGTGAAATGAACGGCAACGAAAACATAATGAATTACAAACGATATATTTTTGAGGAAAAAACCTCAAAGACGTTAACAAATAGACATGATGATAAAGAAAAATAAATATGTTTTGTTTTATTAAAAAGATTCTCGCTAACTGAAAAAAGGAGATGCGGAGAGAGAATACAAAAAGGATGAAAAGCGGTCGAGAACTAAATTGGAACAATTGCGACCACGTTCAGGTGTCATTATCGTTTTTCTATGTACAAACACTTCTTGTTCTTGTTCTGTATCTTCTCTCATTCGACGGCGGTCTCGAGGCGAATGAGACGGTTCGATTGTTCCGCGATCTCATGAATCGACACTCGTCCGCGTTGGTTAATGAATTTCGCAACTGAAAGAATAACATAAAATGATAACTACACATGGAGGTGCTTCGAAAGTTCCTAGAGATTTTCCAGAATATTTCAGCTAGATATATTGCTTTAAATCAATGTTTGTCATATTGTTTTTAAAAAAACGTTTCTAAAACTGTTGAAACATAAACGATCATCACTTAATTTATTTCTTTTTTGAAACCTGGTTGACATTAGTCATTTTGGCAAACGATTCGAATAATACAAAATGAAACATAAGAGGCTTTTAAAAATACAAACCTGCAGCAAATTCTTCATCGGAAATGTAGATGAACTTTCCTCGATCATCCATAACACCCTGAACGAGGCCTTCTTCAATAAAATGCTGCAGTCTGTTTACAGCTTCTTCTGATTTCAAACCGAAATGTGCAGATAGCTCGTCAATGTTCACAACCTTATTGCTTTTTACGTATTCAACAAAATCCCGAATCAAGTTTTCGGCTTCTTCACCTTCAATCGCATCAGTTCCCTCTTCTTCAATGGCAAACGATGCTTTCAACTGGAATGCATAAGTTGAGATTTGAAGAGAGCACCGAAAAGCTCACCGCTAAATACTCTTCATATTCCTTTCGTTCTTTCTCTTCTCGTTCCTTCTTCAGACGTTCTTCTTCAGCCTTCTCTTCAGCTGCTTCTTTGGCTTTTTCCTCATCTCGTTTCTTCTCTCGCTCTTCTTCACGTCGCTTACGTTCTTCTCTTTCCCAAAGTTCATACTCCCGCATCTGGCGTTTTTCTTCTTTTGCTGCTAGTTTAGCTGCCTTCCTTTTTCCAATCTTTTTACCATCAGCATCGTATTCAAATTGATCTTCACCTCCTTCCTCCATATCATCATCGTCATTCATCATGTGATTCACAAATCCATCTTCTGGCTCGTCACGATTCACACGACGCCTCGCATTACGACGCATACCTCCAGCCACTAAAAAATTGTGTTTTCTAAAAGACTTGAATGAAGCAATCTTACCATTCGCTCCTCTTCTATCGTCGGCTCCTTCATTCATAGCCAGCAACATTTCTGTTCTGTCTCGCGCAGCTTTCTCATCCCATTGCAGTTTCAAAAGACGCCAAATAATCAAAGTTAACCTGAAAATAGATTTTTAAAAGTACTTGTTCACAGTAAGAATCGAAAACTGACGCAAGAACAAGAACTCCGACTGATCCAATAAGAAGAGGATCCAAACCATCTCCCTTTGATCCACCAATACTATAGGAATTATCTGTAGATGATTTTCCCTGATTTTTGTCCATTTTTCTGAAAATTGGTTGTAACAGTTAAATTTATATTGGCCAGAAACAATGTTTCAGCTGAATCAAGAATAGAATTAGAGGCAAAAAAATGGACAAACAGAGAGCATAATTTATAGGGTGCAATAAAAAAAGGTAAATTGATTCTGAGTTTCGAGAGCATGAACTAATCAGCATTTTATGAATGAAAATGCATTTTTACAGCTTGAGTCAGTTAAAGCCTCCACGGTGTCCATGGCCGAACAGCCATAATGGTTAGGCCGCTGTTTTCTAGGCCAGCAGAGAGAATGCAATGTGATGGGCTATTTAACAGCACGATGTAAATTGTTTTAGAATCAAAAAACTACAAAACTTAACGTTCGCGATGTTTTCGGTCTAAAAAAAATGCATGTTGGACTTATCAAAAAATCACCTATAAAAACAGAAAAATCGATGATTTGTCTGTGAGAGAAAACACGATTTTTGATTCAGGATATTGAAAATTGTTTTATTGGTAGGTTTTGCTAGAAAAAATCTTCTCTCAAAAATTAGAATGGAAATTCTGAAAATATGCTACAGTGTAAACACCTCTGAAAAGTTTTCCCCGGAATTTGTCAGAACGAGCATCCGATTTGTAAAATAAAAACAAATTGAAATGATTCAGGTGCGAAAATAAACTTTATCGACTGAACTAATGGAAATAATTAAAAAATATAACAGGGAATTGGGTTGGGAAATAAATATAATATTTAAATTTTAAATAAAACAACCGGACCATAGTTGTCTAGTATGCGAGCGGATACAAAAGTGTTCGATTCGAGATCTTACTAGAGGGGATATTGAAATCGATAACACAATGGGAACACACACTAGGGATCACGAAAACGGATGGAGAAAAAGGGAACAGGGTTTTTATTCAAGCATTTGAGATGGCGGTTTGAAAAAAGTGATAAGTCGCGAGATCTAATCGACATCCATCTCTCCTGGCTGGGACTGTGGTTGATCTCCAGCAGCTGGTTGGGTATCTTCCTTCTTTGGTGGAGCTGGGGCAGCAGGTTTCTTCTTGTTGAGGATTGGGTTCACAATATTTTCGAAGGCCTGAAATTTGCAGATGATTATAAGACAATTGCTTGTTTAAGAACGTACATTTTTGTTTTGATTGATTTCCTCAGTGAATACGACTGGAGCATCAGTTTTTGAGCGGGTCTCTTGCTTGTGACGAGCCTCATCGAGCCACTTCTTCTTGTCTTCGATAGCATTGATCACCTTTTCCATTTCTTTACTATCGAGGTGAGCATAAGTTGGGCCACCATTGACGTAATCTTCGTAGGCTTTTCGTACACGAAGAATGGATTGATCGAAGGTATCGAAAGCTGGCTTTCTGGTTTCGAACTCACGATAGCGTTCCACCACTGGAGTGCCGACTGCCTTCAACTCATAGAGTCTCTTCTCGTAGACATCACGCTCGGTATCCTCTCCTTCATCGTAGAGCCAATCTTCCGTAGAAGTCAAAGCTGAACGGAACTCGTCAGCGGCTGCTGGAGTGATGAAATCGGCGTATTGCTCAGAAAGCTTGTCGCGCATTTCATAAACGTATTCCTCGAGTGAGTTCTTAGCGTCCGCCTTATCTTTTTCTCTGGCATCAGCGGCTTGCATACGAAGTTCAAGCTCGTGGAATTTTTGAACATCGTATTTAACTGGAATCGATTCGATCACCTCCAGATCCACAGGAATCAACTTGGTTTTCTTCACTGGTTCGAGTGGCTCAGCTGGCGGAGCGTCTGGATTGCCGTTTCCGTCCACTTCCATTGCTTCAGCGGGAACTTCCTCGACAATCTTTGGCTCGTACATAATGGCCGATGCAATTGTGAAAACACCATCTGGGTTGACGCGGACCTTGACTTTGACTTTTTGGTTAGCACCATCAGCACCTGGACGAGCACCATTAACTTTCCAGGAACCAATATGAACTTGGTTGTGGGGAACGACGTTTGGTTGAGCATAGTGAGCTTCGACTTGGAATGGTCCACTACGGAGAAGAGATACAAGCTTTGAGAATGGTACTTCGTCTCGTGGAGCGAAGACGTCATTTTCTCTGAAATGTGGAATATTTAGAACTGTTTGCAGATCATACACTTACCCTCCGTTGTCTCCTGGTCCGTTCCAGCTGAGACGAATACGGTACGGCTGCGAGTCCTTGATGGCGAACTCACGAACACGGAATGTTGGTGAAAGAATAGCGCACTGCATGGCAGCTCCACGAGCTACAGCCTCATCTTGATTCATCGTGGTTTTCGGTTCTTTTCCAAAAAGATCTTTAACGATTTGTCTGATCATTGGAATTCTCGAAGATCCTCCAACAATTTCAATTTCTTCGACATCTTCTGGCTTGATGGCAACATCTTCCGTGAACAAGTTGACAAGAACTTGCTTGATACGATTGAAGATTGGTGCTGCTAGTTCTTCGAACTCCTGACGCTGCATCTTTCCGGTGACATCCTTGTCTTCCATGAAGCATTCAATGTTGAGCGGAATTGGTGTTTGATTCGCAGACATCTGTTTCTTCACTCGCTCACACTCATCAAGAAGCCGAAGCCATGGTCGTGGAGAAGTGGAAGCGTCGATTCCTGGAATTGTATTATTGAGAAAGTTTATAATTGTTTTAACTTGCCGTATTTAGTCTTGAACTCCTTTCTGAAATGCTCACGAATGAGAGCGTCGAACCAGAGACCACCAGCTTCCAGATCGTAGGATGTGTTGACCATTTGCAACTTTCCGCGGTTGAAAGAAACCAATGAGGCTTGAGTTGACGAGTGCCCGATGTCGAGGAAGACAACATTACGTGGCTTGGCATCTTCTTCTGGGAGATCTTGCTTGTAAATACCGTATGCCAGAGCGATGGCTGTTGTTTCATTGATGATGCGGAGGGAGTTTAGCCCAGCATATTGAATTGCGGAGAAAACTGCACGTCTTTGGACATCGGTAAAGTAAGATGGAACCTGTAATGAAAACATTTTCTTCTAAAAATTTCATGTATTTAAACTCACCGCCAGGACACAGTCGGAAACTTTTTTCACATCCGTCAGCTGGGACTCAACGATTGTACGCAACTTGGTGAGCAGAGCTGCTAGAACTTGCTCTGGGGAGAAAGTATGTGGTTCTCCGAGATAGCTGACTTCGATTCCGATGTCATCATTTGGAAGTTGGACAACTTTGCAAGGAATAAATGGAATGAATCGTTGCGCAATCGGATCGCTGAACTTGCGCCCAACCAGATGCTTAAAATTGATAACGGTATTTTTGATATTTGTGTTGACCGCTTGACGAGCCGCTACTCCCATCGATCGGTCCTTTGGTCCAAAAGAAACGCAAGCTCTGAAAAACACATAATTTTATAAACAGATGCGACAAAATAAACTTACGGAGTGGCATGCAAGGAATAATCATTCGTGATAACCTCAATACCTCCTTGGCGTGCAACACCAATGTAGCAGTTGAGGTTACCGATATCGAATCCGAGAACCGACATTTTCTTGATAGCAAGAACGCTGAAATGAAGAAGTAGAGTGCTAAAATTGTCAAGAAGATAATTTTAAGCTGAGGATGACTTTATATACGCTACTGACACGATTTCTAGAAACTTCGAGAAAAAAAACGACAGAAGTGAGCAAGAAAGACGACAACAAACTTCGGAAAACGACCGAAAAGGGCGTGTCTTGAAGCCTTTCTCTCAAAATGGGTTTAAAGGAACACAGAATATTCGAGAAAAGTCTAGCAAATCGTGACGAGACCCAAGAAAATTTGGTGTGCGGTAGAGCGCAGCTGCGAATGCTGTTATTTTTCAAAAATCATCATTTTTCAAACAGAAAAACAATTGTTGGCTTTGGCTGAAGCCAATAGAACATTCATATGTGTTTTTCCTTGTTTTGCTAGTTTCGTTTCTGCTGTTCAAGTTTTCCGCTCCGACTAGATTCCGAATATTCTCATTATTGTCCTTTTTGCTCGAAGTGTGCCCTATTTGATGAATGAAATTCTATTTTTTTAAAAATGAATTGAAATATTGTGTTTCTTTTTCAGGAAGATGACTCCGAAAGCTGGTGAAACCGTTGTCGAAAAAATGGAAGTTGACGAAGTAAAGCCGGAGACTCAAGAGAAGAAAGAACCTGTAAAAGATCTTAATGCCATTGCAGTTGAAAGTAAAATTGTCATATTTTTCGTTTTGAAATTCTATTTTTAGGCATCAAAGAACAGCTGGCAGCACTAGATAAAGGCGAGGAGCATTTGGTAACCCGAGTGTTGCAAGTTCTACCAAAAACTCGGAAACAGCTGAACGACATCGTTTTACATAAACTCGTATCGGCGCATTTGAGCAGTGATTCTCAATTTGGCGAATCTCTTCTCAAATACTTGCACTACACTCCTCCACCAGCTGACACTGAAGTTCAGCCCATGGACACAACGACACCTAAATCGAAGTCACCAAAGAAAGCTATGAAGCCAGTGTATTCTTCACCAGAGTCTGATTGCTACGTGCGCCTTCTGGTATTGCTTCACCTTTATGCCCAAAAGAAGCATGCGGAGGCTCTCACTTTAGGCGAGCAACAGCTCACATTCAGTAAGTTTTTCAATAAGCTTGAACTGTTATTTATATTATAATTTTTCAGTTTACAATACTGACAAGAGGACACTTGATGGGCTTGCAGCCAAGACGCTCTATTTCCTTTGTGTTATCTATGAACGCGAGGGTCGTCTTTTTGACCTTCAGGGCTTCTTGAATTCTCGGCTTCGTACTGCAACTCTTCGTCATTTCAACGAGTCGCAAGCAGTTCTCATTTGTTGGCTTCTTCGTTGCTATTTGATCAACCATCAATATCAGTCTGCGGCTCATCTTGTCTCTAAAGTAGCCTTCCCAGAAAATGCATCCAACAATGACCTCGCTCGCTACATGTACTACCAAGGACGTATCAAGGCTCTTCAACTCGATTATAATTCAGCTGCCGGATACTTTCTCCAAGCCCAACGAAAAGCTCCTCAAGAAGGTGCTATCGGATTCAAGCAAGCTGTTCAAAAATGGGTTGTGGTTATCGGTCTGCTTCAAGGAGAAATTCCGGATCGCAGTGTATTCCGTCAGCCGATTTACCGTAAATGTTTGGCCCACTACTTGGATCTCAGTCGAGGTGTTCGTGATGGAGATGTTGCGCGTTTCAATCATAATTTGGAGCAGCACAAGGCAGAATTCGAGGCAGATGATACACTCACATTGATTGTTCGTCTTCGTCAAAACGTCATCAAAACCGCTATTAAGCAAATTTCCTTGGCATATTCAAGAATCTACATCAAAGATATTGCCAAAAAATTGTACATGACAAATGAGACGGAAACTGAATATATTGTTAGTTATATTAATCCTATTTAAGCCTGTAAAAAATATTTTTAGGTGGCTAAAGCTATCGCCGATGGAGCCATTGATGCAGTCATTACATCAGACGTTCGCGACGGACCAAGATACATGCAGAGTTCTGAGACTGCTGACATATACCGTACTTCAGAGCCACAAGCTCACTTCGATACTCGCATCCGTTATTGCCTCGAATTGCACAACCAAGCCGTAAAAGCGCTCAGATATCCACCCAAGAAGAAGATTGCTGTGGAAACTATCGAGCAAGCTCGTGAGCGAGAGCAACAAGAGTTGGAATTTGCCAAGGAGTTGGCTGATGAGGAAGAAGACGACTTCTAGATTCGGACTCATTTTTAATTTATTCTGAACAATGCAATGGAACGTGTCTGTATCCGTAAATAATTTTTGTGTATTTTATTGGATTTTCTCTGCGTGAGAACCCTTTCTTTTCACCCAACCCGAATGAATTTTTAACGGCTGGTCTATGAAATGTTATCTTACTGAAAAATGTTGTTTGGAGAAGGACAACTGATTCAAAAGTTACTTAAAGGGACCGTCCGCTAATTCCAAAATTTTTGAGATTTTTATATCAATCGATCCAGAATTTTGGTTCGGGAAGAAAATTCTCTTGGAGGATAGTCCGAAAATCACTCGTTCTTAAGATATATGTCAAAAAAATCAACGTAGAGGGTGCAGATTAGGGAGCTCGACAAGAGGCAGAATCCTTGAGGGTGCACGCAAATAAATGAATAAACACGTGAATTATTTTCCCTATTATTCTTCCTAATCTGCACCCTCTACGATTTTGATTTTTTGACCTGTTTTTGACATATATCTTGAGAACGAGTGATTTTCAGACTATCCTCCAAGAGAGTTTTCTTCCCGACCCAAAATTCTGGATCGATTGATATATGGCGTTTGCTAAGCGAGTGGGAGCGATTCCTTATGATATTCTGTTCCCTCCCACTTGACCTACAGGACTAGTCCGTCTGGTCATTTTACTTTTTATTTGTACAGGTCCCATTTCTTGCCAAATTATTCTCTATCGATTTCCCCATGCATTGCAAATAAAAATATATTATTATAAAAATCTCAAAAATTTTAAAATTAGCGGACGCCCCCTTTAACTACTAATGTGAAGAATGCATATCTTCATCACTGTACACACTCTGATTTTATAGTCTGGGTCCCAGGCTCTGGGAATTATCGAAGGGACTTTGGATAAAATGTCGTAAAGTTAAGCGTCTTGTACGTAGAAAAACTTTTATCATAAGTGCAAACCACGCATTATACTTTACGCGCAAGAGCTAGGACTTTTCTCAAACTATTCTCCATAAAACAATTTTCTATGCATTAATTTAAATACTAAATTAGTTAATTTTGAACTCCTAACTTCGTAAAGTCTCGATTATCGTTTTCAGAATGAATGAAGCTCGAGCACGGATTCTAATAAACCTGAGACAGACTATAGACCCACTGTTGCGAATTTTCGGTGGTGGTTCGCAACACCCGCCATCTATGGGATTCGTATTCGATGTAGCCGGACAGCAGATACCAATTCAGAAGACGTCGTTAACCTATGGTAGCGTTGGTAAGATGATCGAAGACTTTAGCATTGTTTTTGGAGTTCCAAAGTATCGCACCAGCAAGCGTAAGTTGTTTTCAGTACAGTTTGTGGGGAAAATTTATATATTTTCAGCTAAGAAGGTCACTCGCAAGTTCTCATTCACTCGTCTTCTTCAACCTATTGATAATCTAGTTACGTGTCCAACTTGCTCAAACATTCATCCGTCAGATACCATCTGTAATGCCTGTTACGCAAAAATTCATGCACTGACTACGGAGATCAAGAAGAAGATGATGAATTACAATCCATATGTTGGAGAGAAGCAAGACAAAGAGGCAAGTTTTCGTTTAAAAAAACTAATGATTCAGTTTTTTTTTTCTATTTTAGGTGTTTGTCAGGTTTAAAGGAGAGCCAGAGGCACCAGCTGCAGTTGTGAAAGGGAAACGTGTTCTGGAGATCGACAGTGAACGACCGACGTGGTTCAAAAAGTTGACACTAAAAGAATAGATTTTTGTTCTCAAAGTAGTTTAGCAGTTCCTTCTCAATTGTTTTTATTTGTTATCTTTTTCATTAAAATAATGAAACGAAGCTTGTTCCCTTTTTCATACTGTTTCTTCTTCTTCATCAATTTCAAGAATTTTGTAACCAGAACCTTTGCGTGTTGTAGGTGTGAAACAGATGCATCGAATTCTTTTCTGAGTTCCTCTCCGGTTACTCTTGGTCCTAAGTAGGGGTATGACACTTGTTGACATTTCTCTTTTCTAATGTGCTCTTGTCACGATCATGCTCGCGCACAAGGGGAGTCAAGCGTAGTTGTGAAGCTGTTTCTCTGCGTGATTTCCAAGAAGAGTAAAACACTTTAGATCAGTTTCGACGATTGGGTTACATGGAGTGAGGGAGCACAGGCTATGGTATTTTTCGGAAATCGGAATGATCACTCAACTGAAAATTTAGAACACTCCGGTCGAAGAAAGCAATTGAGATTGGATGACATGGAATTGAAATTGAAAGATTAATATAATTCAATTAACACAAGATTAAGTTTACAAAAGGTTTTTCAATATAAATTAATGTCATTTATTGTTCTGAAACATAGAATTCGGAGGAGAAACGCCGATGGTCTTGGCCGAAGATCCCACAACGACAGCTACCGTAACCTGAAAATATTATTATTTTCCAAATTTATCTTCTCGATTTTGACTGCTTTTTGTCGAGTTTTCTGCATGGAGATCTTTTTCGGAACATCAAGTAAACTCGCTAGAACGCTAGTTTTTAAAAGAGACGTCGGTCTCGACACGAAAGCTTCAAATTGAACTGCTTTTGGGCTGCATTCCATCAGGAAAAAAACGCGGGAAACAATTTATTCTAACATTTAAACGTTCCGGAAAAATCACCGTTTATAGTTAAAAAAACTATTTCAATTGTATTGTGTTAGTGGCATTAGCCCTTCAGTCAATTCAAATAAATTATAAAAATGCATAATGCCTTCTCTCGACAGTCAAACGATCATTCCGGACCCCTCTCAAAAATCTTAGCTCTTCGAAATACTCTTCTTCTTCGTCTTTTTCTTCTCGATTCCTTTCTCCTTTGCTTCGATGCTCCGTTCGTATCTTACCGCACATTGAGACTGATCGCCGAATTGCGTGACAAAAGCAGTTCGATCTTTTCTCTGAGTCTCTCAACTCGTCACACACTCTCTCCGCTTCTGAGGTTAATGATGAATGCATTTTGTACCAGTCACATCTCACTTTCTACTGAACTTGTGAAGTTGGAAGACAAGAAATTGATTCGAAAAAAATACCATGAATTCTAAGTATTTTGTGTATTTGAGGTCCCAGGACCGAATGGATACGGTACCAAGGAAGAGGGAATGCACTTTGAAAAATATAAAAGAACACTCTAGAGCACCCATGTATATATTTATCTTCTCAAGAAGTCCCAAAATCTCACCCGTGAGTTGTTCAGAAGTCATGGATATACCCCTCTCATCGTCAGAGCCAATGTGACTATGAATATTGGGTTTCACCAGCAGCACCATCCTCCATCACCACAAATCCAAAACGACTCTTTCTTCTACCCCACATTTTAAGGCTTCTTCTTCTTTTTGCCTATCTCTCCTTTTACTTTACTCTCGGAGAAGGAGAAGCCTCTTCCTTCCTTTTCTAATGAGTGAGGAGGAGGAGGGATGAGGTTGAGGATTATCCTTTCATCAAACCATATGAGTTTTCTTAAGAAGACATCCTGGAGAAATCGATGGCAGAAGACCTCTTACCGTAGTCGTGGGTACATGAAAGCAGGTAATTGGGCGGATTACGAGAGAGGCGGCATGTCTTGTTCATGACGAATGGTTCTCAGATTGATTCAGATCTATTATTTGCGGGAAATGAGGCCACCTGGAAGACGTAATGGCAAAACAGTTTTTTAAAGAATATTGAAAATAGAAAAAAGGAATGGCAACCGTATCTCTAATAGAAGCCAACTCTATACGTGCACTTTGAGCTCAGTTATCTCGGCTCCTAGGCAAGATATCAATACTTTGTCAACTGAATGTTAGTGATGTTATGAAAAAGATTTTGTCAGTTCACTACTTTTCGATATCTTTTATAAAAACCGAGATGTTTAGGTTCAAAGTTAAGAGGTCGACAGCCGAACGTGTCGGCGGCAAGCGCAAGCTTGTCAACTTCGAGGTCATTTATCTTAGTTCCTTCAACAGATAATAAAACTATTTCAACTGTTAAAATGTTTGTGATATTATGAAGAACATTTTATCAGTCGACCAATTTTTGATATCTGTCACAGGAATCGAGATAATTAAGCTCAAAGGGCACGTCTAGGTTGCGATTCTATTAGAGGAGAGAATACGGTAATCAGAATCTGGGTATGATCTGGAACCAAGTGACCCAAGTGATCACTTCTTGATAAGCTCACTATCAGTTTTTTGAAAAATTCAAAAAATTCAGTCTCCCAAAATCCGATGTTCACAAAGAGTACCGTTATCAAATTAGTGTAGATGGTTGACGATTTACACTTTAAGAAGTACCGATGATTCGTTTTCATTCTTCTCATATTTCCCCATTTATCAACCTTTCAGACACCTTTCCAAATGAAGTTCTTCTAGAAGAATCCAAAAACATCTTCTACCGCTCCGCCCACTGCTCCTTCTTCTTCTACCAGTAGCCGTGCTGAGTAACCCAAGAAGCCCCACCCCTCGCGCATCGTCGGAGGGGAGCAACAACTCTTCTAGTCCCGAGCTTCCAACTCTTTAAACTTCTCATTGTCTTTAGTTTTGAACTTTTTCTTTATTTCCATTTCCACTCAAAACGAGCCAAAGAAAGCAAAGAAGAAGAATAAAAAGAAAAAAGAAGAATACGTTGGCGGCGGGTCCTTTTTCGCTTCTTCCTATTCATGAACCCCAAACCTCCGTAGGTAACCCAGGTGATCGTCTTTCTCGGGCAGGGCCAACAATGAGTCCTTCTTTCCGGAGTGAAGAGTGAGAAGAGCACGATTGATGAGCTTCATTTTTGAAAAAGTGTTTCCTTTTTCGGACACGAGAGACAAGATTTATTCACGACCGAGTTCTGAAGAGCTTGTCTTTTTTATGTATCCCAAAGAGGTTATGGTAATATTTTTATAGTCTCGGACTTCTTGGACTAATGTTTTTCAAAAATTAGAATGAATATTTTTGAATTGCATTGATGGTCATTCGTCAAAAAAGATGGTTGATCTTCTATAGATCTGTCTTATTTTTAATCATAGAAATATATTGTTCTTCTTAAAATTGAAATTAATTTTATCAATTGTCACCAACGATGAAGGCCCGGTCTAATTCTGTCAGGTCTGATAATTTGTGAGAAGGTCTCCAGATTACAGTATCAGTACTGGAAAATTGAGAATTGAATCTTCGAATTTCCGAATTTCAAAATTTATGTAAGACATTTGAAAGAAGAAATTTCGAATATAAATTTCCGAGTTTATGAATTTCTCAATTTCTCGATTTCCTAAATTCTGATATTTTTTCTAAATTCCACAATTCCAAACATTCAGATATAATTTCACATTTTTTCGAAGTTTCAAACTTTTTGAAAAGAAACTCAATTGAAAAAAATACTTGATTTGTTTCCTGATTCTCCTATTTCAGAAACTTTATAGTAAAAAACGAAAAAGCCCAATCATCTTGCCCATCACTCTATTGAAAACTTTTCTTAAACGCAAATTCGAAAGCAATGGTCATCACATTAGTTACAATATGTTACTGTCTATAAAGTTGACCCCTTTGGTACGACATGGAACCACCTAGAAAGGCTGTTCCCAACTCCAGGCACCGCCGTCCCAAAAGAATTCCATTCCGAATCACTTCACCCATCTGAAAACATGTGTTTCTCTTTCTCAATTCTTCTCCACGTCTCGATTTGAAGTACAGTAGTGGCCCCTCTAAATGTACGGCTTCTTCATCCCAAATCCGGTTACTTCTCCAAATACCTAAAAGGCTTCAGTTGTTATAAGGTTTCCATTTTCCAGGAGTGCTGTTCAATGAGCACATTTGCACTTTATCCATCCTGTCTTATTTCAAAAAAGGGGGATGCGAACGGGGGATGAAGTGTGTGTCTGTATTTGGGTTAAGAAAGAGAAAATGCACTTGTTATCACCTCAAAAAAACAATGATGGGAGGAGGTTCATCGTCTCAAGTGGGTTTGTTTACCCGAGCAATGCACTTCATTTCTGTTCGTTTTTGGGTTCTAGACCCGGGAAAAAGGGGGGGGGGATTGGAATTCGATTATATTTTGAAGAGTTCTCTCAGGAGATCCAAAGTTTTGTAGTCTGACAAGTTAAAGTACCGTATTTCCTGTAATAGAAGCCGACTCAACTTTGAGCTCAATTATCTCGATTTCTGTGAAAGATATAAGAGCCTGTGATTTTCAAAAAAATATTTTTTCGTTTCTTGTTGTTGAAATCTAAAAGTTTTTGTACCCCATCCACTTTATTTGTTTCAAGCAATATGCGGTTAGAAAAATGGACAAATAGTACAAATTTTCAGCTCGGGCTTTTTCACTGCAAACTTGAAGATTGTAAAATAAGATAACGTCAAAAAACAAATGACACGATTTATTTAAAAATATGACCTGATTATTGGGGGAAAAACAAACGTGGAATGAAAGTACAGAAAATTGAGATATGAAATTCTGGACTTTTGAAGGAGAAGAGAACGTGGAAAACTAATGAAAAGTAAAAAGTACAGAAAATCCTCGATGAAAATTCTGGACTTTCCAAAAAAAGAATAAACGTGAGAAAAAACGTGACACTGAAAATTTTTCGGGATGGGGATTCAGTTAATGAGTGTGAATAGTTTCTGGACTTTAAAAAATGAGTTGGATTGCTCGCCAAAAGTGTCTACAAATCTCAAGGAATTTCGCTTTTCGTGCATTGGTTAGTTGCCCAATCTTCCGGTTCAGTTTGTCAATTTTCTTTATTATTAAAG